GCGCGATTCACTTGTGTGAAAGAACTAGTACTTATTTGATATATGTGAAATTTGCTGAGGTTATAAGTTGATAGTTAAAACTATCAAGAAGAATTTTATTTTCTTCTCTTTAGAGCGTTTATAAATAAAAGCTTTTTATTAAAAAGTTTTTTTTTACTTTTGATTTATTTTTAATTCTTAGTTATCGCTAGCTGGATTTTTCGATTTACTCTCAACGAGCCTTTTCATTATTTGATACCCATATTGTAGAAGTATATTGAAAATGATCATTCGGCCATCTTGGATGGTCCGCCATAATGGATTTAAAATGACGTCACATCATTTTTCGAGTTACTCTCAACGAGCATTTCCATTTGATACCCATATTGTAGAAGTATATTGAAAATAGCTATTCCGCCATCTTGGATGGTCCACCGTATTGGATTCAGAATAACGTCACATTATTTTTCGAATTACTCTCAACGAGCCCTTTCATTTGATACCCATATTGTAGAAGTATATTGAAAATAGCTATTCCGCCATCTTGGATGGTCCACCGTATTGGATTCAGAATAACGTCACATTATTTTTCGAATTACTCTCAACGAGCCCTTTCATTTGATACCCATATTGTAGAAGTAGGTAAATTTAAAATGACCATTCCGCCATCTTGGATGGTTCGCCATATTCAATTTAGAATGACGTCACATCATTTTTTGAGTTACTCTCAACGAGCCTTTTCATTTGATACCCATATTGTGAAAGTATATCGAAAATAGCTATTCGGCCATCTTGGATAGTCCGCCATATTGGATTCAGAATAACGTGACACACTTTATCGTGCATCGTCATCCAAACTGAACGTGTATACGAAATTTCAGCTCAATCGGTTGAAAATTTCAACTTCAGAATTGAGTTCAAAGACACCACCCGAACTATATACATACCTATATACATCCATACAAACATACAATGCAAGTTTAATAAAAGCTTTCAAAAAGAAACAATGGAAATAAAAAATTAGGCCACATAATTTCATATCAGACGAAGTTATAACACCCGGAAGTGAACTGGTTGAATGCGCTGAAGCGGAAGCAAGACCAAAAAAAAACTAGAGTGAGAGAGGAGGGAAGACCGTTCTCCGTTTTGTTCAATGTCAAGGTCTAGTTGAGGTTGGAAATTAATTTGAAATAACTGACTTTAATGATTTTGAATTTTACAAAAATTCTAACAAGTTAATCAATAATTATCATACTCTGGAATGTCAATCGTATTTTTCAAGTGCAATATTATGACTGAGATTATCATGACCCATTTCATTTCATCAAGAGTGCTGTGGACTGTCAAGTTCCTCCAATCTTCAATATGAAACAAAATATGAAATACTTCGAAGCGTTCCTGTTGTGTTGTGCTGCTGAATAGTTTTCGTGCTGCTAAATAGTTTTCGTGCTGCTGAATAGTTTTTAGTTTTTTTGGTAAGTAAAACTTCTCAGCCAATTGAAGAAACATATTTAGGTATGACTACTCAAGAGAAACGTTCAAAATTATCTGTGTTATATCTAGTCTTTAGCAATAGAATATTAGGGGTACATCTTACGTGTCTACATTTATCTAACATTCTTTCACGAAAAATAATTATCTTACATAACATATACAGTGTGTCCACCTTAAGGACTTACCACCCCTGTGAAATCGTTAATATCCGACCAATTTCAAAAAACTTGTTTTGTTAGATAGGTATTTGAAATGCCCATCCAACGAGAGAGTGATCTAATTCTTGGACTGTTATCGTGGCCAACTGCGACAAATTTCAATGACCCATATTCCAGAAAGTACTATTAGGGATTTTTTTCCACGAAACTTGATGATGGATTCTGAATCAGTACCACTTGAAATATACCTGTACCGATTTTCATCATCATAAAACACAGGGTGTCCGAAAAAACGAATCATCATTTTCTTCAAATAGGTGATCAGCGAATGTAGTTCTGTGGTTTTTCTAGAAAGAAATGATCTCAAATTATCATTGAGGATTATTTCAAATATACCTGTACCAATTTTCGTCATTTGAATATACAATGTGTCTGAGAAAAAAATTAAAAAGGATAGGTAAGCAATATTTTTCATCCTGATAATTCTTTACTCAAAATAAAAATATGAATCAGGATCACTTGGATCATACCTGTACCGATTTTCATCATCATTAATCACAGGGTGTTCGAAAAATCGAATTAATATTTTTTTTGAGTTGATGAAAAAATATTGCCTACTTTTTCTTTTTAATTGTTTTCTCATACACATCGTATTTTTGAATGATGAAAATCGGTACAGATATGTTCAAAGTGATCCTCAATAATAATGTGTCATCAATTCTTCTCAAAAATACCACAATACAACATTTTCTGATCACCTATTGAAAAAAAAAACATAATTCGTTTTTTTTGACACCCTGTGTTTTATGATGATAAGAATCAGTAGAGGTGTTTCTCAAGTGATCGTGATTCAGAATCCATCATTGTTTTTTGTAAAAAAAAATCCCTGATAGTACTTTCTCAAATATGGGTCAATGAATTTGGTCGCAGTTGGCCACGATTACAGTTCATGAGTGAAATCACTCTCTTGTTGGATGAACATTTCAAATACCTATCCAACAAAAAAAAGTTTTTTGAAATCGGTCAGATAATAACAATTTTACAGGGGTGGTAAGTCCTTAAGGTGGACACACTGTATATGAATATCATGTTTTTTTTTTAAATTACTTCATTAACAATTTGCATGAAATTTTGATAAGTGCACTCCAATGAAAATGCTCATTAGGTGGTACCTATTTAAGTATTGACGCCATATTTAAATTGCTATTTTCCTTGAAAAAAAAAACATAATTTACATTATTCATCCATTTTCAAAACTATGTAACATTTAAAACTCTTATCCAAAACTAACCCTTCTTTGAGGGATAAATAAAATGGATCATTTTCCAAAGGAAACATTTCTTACCAAAAGAAGGGCGGATATTTTGAGAAATGCTATTTTTCTGCAATGAACCCAGGGTTTCCTAAAACATGAATTCTCGAAATACTTCAAATTGATAAGCACTAAAATATTTTAGCCTGCCTCTTCAGGAATAAATAATGTATCTCTTGCTCGAAATACAAATTTTATCTACATGAATTTTTTCACAGAAAATACTGTTATTAATATTCTGAAGTTTCGGAATGACAAAATAAGAGCATATGGTGATAAATATAAGATGGTAGCTTAAGTGTCCTTTGAAGCTGACTCTTTTTTCCAATAGAAGCCTGCGGGCAGAAATATTATGTTCACTAGTTTTACGTATGATATACTGTATGATGCAAATGTATGGAATAAATTCATTTCAAAACAAGACGACAAGTTCAGAACTTTCTTGTCGATGTACTTTTTCAACTAGACGACCCTTCGATGTTCAATTGTCAGTAGAAGATCTCTGCAAGATTTAGTTAACCAAATGATATTCCATTTTAATTTCAATCTTCTTTTGCAAAATGTTGACTATTGGATAGACGATCAGTAGACCTTTAAAACGAAGTGTCACATGACCCCTATTCGTATTGAAAAAAACCGTCCATTACGTCATTACTCCAACACCGGTGACGTAACATCTCTCATATGAATGTCATGAGATGAGGTTTCAAAAATTAAAACTCACGTGTTTTTGGAATTTCTTCAAATGTCGCCCATTTCGAATTTTGGTAAGGAAACCTATATTACTATAAATATCCTGCATGTTTTTCATATCTGGGAATATATTGCTTCAGATCAGAATGGTGATTGCGCCAGTAGTCTGCCACTTGAAGGAATATCGTAGGTTTAATATATACATGTTGCCATATAGGGATTAAAAAAATTCATGAAAATAGAAAGAGGTATTGGCAAAATTAAAAAAATATTACAGAACCATAGGATTCCCAAACTTTCAGGGAAAAAATAATATTCACAAAAAGTACACTTTTTTCTGCAACCAAATTCCAGTTCTTGACCTCTCAGTATCCAATTCTCGGCCACCTACCCAATTGTTGTTCATTGGTGCCTTTTTTCGGTCGAATTAAAACAGCAAAAAATAAAATACTCTTTCTTAAAAAAATATCACAAATCGAAAATTGAATAATATTCATTTTTTTACCCAGTCTTCTGCTATATAACTATAAAAATATTGAAGGAATATTCTTAATTGAGCATTGAGTGAGTTACTGATTTAAAAAAGAATTGATATTTTGTTTCTCTCCGAGTGTGGAGTTCATAAAATCGGATGTGGAACCATCTGCAACTGAAAAAAGAAACTTTAGTCGTTCAAAAAACCTCTTGAAAGGTATTCATATTGTTAGAGGGATATTATAATTTTATTTTTTGTGAAAAATCAACTTATCAGATGCAAAAAATTTGGAAAAGGTCTTTTGGAATAATGAAAAACCCTTTAATATCATATTTCATCCAAATTGGTTCATTGGTTTAGGTTCCAAAGCATACACACGGGATAACAATGTTGAAAGGTTGAATTTTCTGATAACTACAATACTTCCTTTTTCCTAGAGTAGCTCAAAAGTAAAAGGCATTCGGATTAATTAGATTAATAATGGAACTAGTGAAACTTTGGCTGAATCCATTAGTGAATCGTTTCATGTCATTTAAAATTATTTTTTATATATATTTTTTTTCTCTATTTCAGATATACTTGTGTTTGACAGTGACAATTTGTGTGTTCATTTAGTTTGGTGTATTGTGTGTTTGGTGTGGTGTGTGTGTGAGTGAATTTAGTTGTTTTAGTGATTAGTTAAGGTGTGGTGTGGTGTGGTATATATCTCTTCAGCCGAGTTTCTATTAATTACCTCTTCAACATGCCAAAAACTAAGAAAAAATCTGCTGATCAGAGAAGAAAAGAGGAAAAAAAATTAGTAAAAATATCAAGAGCAAAAAAAAAAGGAATTTCAAGTGAAAGCAATAATCTAAAGGTATCCGAAGATGAAAACAATATAAAAAAGCAAATGGAAGGAAACAAATATAATAAAAGGAAAAATGAAGCTGAAGGAAGAGAAAAAAAGAAGGCAAGAAGAGATGAAATTTTCCATTTGCTAGAAAAGAACACTGATTTGAAACCAAAATTGATTTTATCACAAAAGGAAAGATATAAATCGAAAAATAAAGAGACAATTACCAATTTGCGGAAAAATGAATCATATAGAACTCATGAAATAGAAGTGGATCTGAAACGAAAATTGAAATTAACTCAAACTGAAGAATATAGATCACAGAAAAAGAAAAAAATTGCCTTATTAAGAGAAGATGAAGCTTACAGATCTCATGAGAAGGAATTAGGAAAAGAACATAAAATAATACTAAGACAAGATGACACTTTTAAATCACATGAAAAAGAAAGAGATCGAAAACATAAAATCATACTTAGGCAAGATGATGAATATAGATCTAATGAAAGAAAAATTGATAAGGAATCGAAAGTACTTTTGAGAAGTGATGATGTATATAGAGCTCTCGAAAAACAGAAAGACAAAGAAAAGAAGAAGGCATTGAGAACAAATGAAAAATATCGTTCTAAACAAAAGGATTCACAGAAAATATATCAATCTCAGTTGAGAGAAAGTGATGAGTTCCTAATTAAGAAAAAAATAGCAATACAAGATAAAAGAAATGATGAATTTTATCATTCACAAGAAAAGGAAAAAAATAAAATAAGAACTCAAGTGTCAAGAGCCATAGAAAGTATAATCAATATTTCTATCGATTTACCTGATATACCTACTACTGAATTTGAATTGCTAATTAAAGAAGGGCCAACCGAAATATGCAATTGTTGTCTAAGATTAATGTTCCCAAGACGGACTAGAAGTATATAGGGATATCATTATCAAAAAATATGGCTTGGAATTTGTTGAGACTGTATTTTATAATCCATGTGAAGAAATGTTTTGTTTTACTTGTCGTCGAAACATCAATAAGGGTGAAGTGCCAACATATTGTCATAGCCAGTACAAGATTGTTTTTGATATTCCACCTGAAATGGAAAATTTGACTGTTTTGGAAGAAAGGTTGATTTCACCCAGAATACCTTTTATGCAAATAAGAGCCCTAGGATATGATAAACAGTGCAGTATCAGAGGGCAAATTGTAAATGTACCAATTTCAGTTGATACAAACAGAAAAATACTACCAAGAAAGGTTGAAGACACTTTTACAATTCAGTTGCAATTAAAACGTAGAATGGGATATAAAAATGCCTATATCACAGAAACTATTCGTCCACAAAAAATACTTCAGGCTCTCAATTACTTGGTAAATCAACCTCTCTATCAAACTGAAGGTATTACAATTTCGCAGGAATTTATAAAATCTCTGGAAACTAACAGTCAAAAATATAATAATGGAATAAATTTGTCAAAGGAAATTTTGAACTCATCAACACATACAATTGGAAATGAATTGAATAAAAGAGTTGACAATTCTCCAAAAACCATTAATGATGTCAATTTTGAAAACGATGAAATATTGGATCAGGAAGTTGAAAAAGTATTGAAAAAACTAGAAGCTTGCATTGAAAATAATGAAGATTTAGAGGACGAATTCGAAAAAAACGATAGATTCGACAAAATTAATCCAGGTTCTACTCAAACACTCCTGGACAATACAAAAATTGAAAATATCTGTTTCGCTCCAGGAGAAGGAAAAAAACCAATACATTTATTGTTCGATCAAAATAGTGAAGAATTGTCATTTCCAACGATATTTTGCGGAAACTCGAGAGAATTTAACAAAAAAATGAGTTACGCACAAATAGCGAAATTGCAAGCAGTTCATAAAGATAGACGATTTGCTCGAACAGATTATCTATTGTACATGTTTAAAAAATATCAGATGATTTCTGTAATTGACAGAGTTTCTATTGCAATTAGAAAAAAAATTCAAGGATCTGATACATGCACTGCAGGACAATTGAGAGACACTGCTTTTGTTGCAAATCTTATTCAACATAATGAGGGTTATAGATTTTTAAAAGACATTAGAACCTCTCCTGCTCACTGGAAAAAAGAAAAAGGGAAGCTGGTAGCAATGATTCGCCAATTTAATATACCGACACTCTTCTTTACTGTATCTGCTGCAGAAACAAAGTGGCCTGAATTATTGGTTATTTTAAGTAAAGTGGTTGATAACAAAATTATTAGTGAAGAAGATACTAAAGACTTGCCATATAACGAAAAAACTAGATTAATTCGTAGTGATCCTATAACATGTGCACGATATTTCGATAATAGGTTTCGTTTATTGTTATCACATATGAAAAGTAAAAACGGTCCATTCAAAGGTAATGGGGAAGACTACTGAGGGAAGAAATCCGTGCAAACCTCTTTCAATCGACGAATCATGATTTACGTTTTATGTACAATCAATATTATGAGTTGAAGTTGAAGGGCATCGAATCTATATTGTTTTAAAATCAGCATATTTCATTCGATATTTCAAAAAGGCAAATATGATGGTGGAGCCGTGACGTATCAGTCCCGAACTGTAGCTATCCCTCTCTGATACCTCGTCATTCTGCAGTGTTGCAGTGTGATTGGTCAGTTCAAGGGCAATAGGCGTGTGGAACTAAGACGTCGCATTAGTCACACCAATGAATTGACAAACATTCAAATGGCGCAGGAATTGTGTGTTTTGAAATGAACATATTCTAATTTATTTTTTTCATGGTCTTAGCATGAATGAAAAAATTCGAAATTAATTCACTTGTAGTTTTTCAGTATAGAGTTCGCGATAATGTCGTTTTAGAAAATCAGTGGTCTCCCCCATTGTATTGAACATTTTTATTATAGAGTAGAATTTCAACATAGAGGCTCACCTCACGTGCATGGTTTATTATGGTTACAAAATGCTCCGATTTATGATCCATCCAATTTAGAATCTAAAATAGAAATTGCTAAATTCATTGATGAATATATCACGTGTGAAAGCAGCCTCGATACTGTGCGAGATGTAATTGATTATCAGATACACCATCACTCTAAATCATGTAAAAAAGAAATCAATGGTGTAAAAGTGTGTCGCTATAATATTCCATTCTTTCCATCGGACAAAACTCTTATATTGGAACCCAATACATTGAGATTAAGTAATGACGAAAAGGCCAGAGTTAAAAAAATGATGGTAGACATCTTGAATTTTTTGAATCAAAAGGAAAAAAAAGATATATCGTTTGATGAATTTCTAGAAAAATTTAATACAAATAGGAAAACTTATAGACAATTCTTGATGAATGTCATTAAAAAACCAAGTGTGATTTTGAAGCGTAAAGTGGTAGACTGTTCTGTCAATTCATTCAATGAAGAAATGTTCCGTTTACAAAAATCAAATATGGATATACAGTATGTTTTAGATCCTTATGCTTGCTTATGTTATATAATAAATTACATCAATAAATCAGACAGAGGTGTTTCTGCTCTAATGCAGGCTGCAATGGTTGAAATTCAGAAGGGTAACATGACCGTGAAAGAGCAGTTGAAGAAAATTGGAAATGTTTTCATTAATGCAAGTGAGGTGTCAGCACAGGAAGCAGCATATAATATTTTAGGAATGAGTTTATCAGTAACAAGTACCAATTTTGTATATATCAATACTAGACCTTCCAACGAAAGAGTTAGGATGTTGAAATCTAAGCAGGATTTAGTTAAAATGGATTCAAACGATAGAGACATATTCAAAGCGGGTGTTATAGAAAATTACATTCAACGTCCAGATATTTTAGAAAAGATTTGCTTGGCTGAATTTGCTGCTTATTATAGTTGTAAAAGAAAAGTTGAAAATTCAAAAAACGAATTAAAATTAGAAGATGGAAGTGGGGTTCTAACAAAGAAAAAGTTTCCCAATATAATTAGTTATTGTTCTTATGGTTTTTTACAGAATCCTATCGATTTTTATAGGGAACAAATAATGTTATATCATCCATGGCGAGATGAGGTAAAAGATATAGAAAATGTTGATCAAATGGAAATTTATCAAGCTGCAATTGAAACAATTGATGATAATCGAACAAAATTTGATAAAATTAATCAACAAGTATTAGATGAAGCGTCAAAGGCAGCCGAAGAAAAATATAAACACCTGTACCAACATGTATTGGATGACAATTTTGATGAAGAATATATACCGTATGCTTCAGATGCACCTAATTTCAATCCGTTGCAATTTTTAGATGGTCCTCAAAAAAATGTGGAAAAACAGCAAACTACTTTTCCAACTCCCATAGAAATTGAAAATCGAGAATACATTGATATAATTTCAACATTAAATTCTAAACAGTATGAATATCTCAATCATGTTTTGGACAATATCATAAATGGTAAAGTTATATATAATTTAGTATGTGGTGGTGCAGGTGTTGGTAAGAGTAGACTCATAACAGCCATACAACAATCTGTAATTCGTTATTATAATTCTATACCAGGTAATGATCCAGAAACAATAAAAGTGTTATTGACTGCCCCCACTGGAAAAGCTGCGTGCGGAATAGGCGGAATAACTTTACATTCAACATTTGCTTTACCAGTGAATCAATATAACAAAGAATTGATACCGTTGAATCAAGATACTGTAAACACTATTCATTCTAATTTGTTTTATTTGAAATTATTAATAATAGATGAATTTTCTATGGTAGGTACGAGAATGTTCCATCATGTTCATGAACGACTGAAACAAATCTATAAAACCAAAAAAGATTTCGGTGGTATATCAGTCATATTGTTTGGTGATTTGAGACAATTGGCTCCCGTGGGGGATAGTTGGATTTTCACTCCGTATAAAGGTAATCACTATAGCGCTATATGTGGTACCCTATTATGGGATAACTTCAAATATTTCGAACTCACTGAAATTATGAGACAGAGAGATGATAAATTATTTGCACTAGCGTTGAATAATATGGCGATGGGTGAAATGACAATGAAAGATATTGATTTGGTTTGTTCGAGAAAATATTCAAATGATATTTTAGATACTTTACCTCCAACTATTGTTCATCTTTTTAAAAGTAATGCTGAAGTAGATGCTTTCAATACGAAAAAATTGTCAGAATACAAAACGGAATCATTCGTTTCAATAGCTAAAGATGTTGTCAAAGGTCAATGCTCGGAAAAAGTGAGAGAAATGATGCTTAAACAAGCCAGATCTATGAAAAAGTCAGATTGTTTTGGTCTCGCTCAGGAATTACTTTTGCAAATTGATGCTAAATATATGATAACTGTGAACTTGAACACACTGGACGGTATTGTCAATGGCGCTTCTTGCATTTTACGTCATGTAGAAAAAGATGAATCAGAAATTCCTCAATACGTTTGGATCGAATTTATCGATGACAAATCAGGTAAAAAAAGTAGGATTGAACATGAACATCTTAATAAAGTCAAAAACTTTCCATCAAATTGGACACGAATAGAAAAGTGTACTAGAGCAATCAAAGTGAGAAAAGATGGTAGTTTACAAGTTGAACGTAAACAATTTTCGTTACAGCCGGCAGAGGGAATTACAATTCACAAAGCGCAAGGTGGCACTTATAATAATGTTGCCGTACATTTTCAAAAAGGGATCAGTCGAAGTTATTTATATGTAGCATGTAGCCGGGCTACGTCTTTGAGTGGGTTATATATTTTCGGCGATTTCATTCCTCCTGCAAAACCTGATAAAAATGATAAAAGTAACAATGAACTTAAAAAACTGAAAGAAAATAAAGTTTTGGAAACAACATTTGCCAAACAGTTTTTCGAAAATAGGAACTTAATTATCACTTATCATAATGTTCAAGGTTTTGAGTGTCATAAATCAATGATTATGAATAATCCTCTATTCATGAATTCTGATATTTTATTGTTTGTCGAAACTTGGAACACAATCAGTCATAGTATATTCATTGAAGGCTTCACCGAATTTGCTAAGTTGTCAAAAAATAAACAAATTATTGCCAATAAGGCTTACGGCATAACATGTTATTGTAAAAATGAAATTTTGCAAGATATTTCTGATATATCAGAATTACAAGAATGCGACGGAAAATCTTATTTTCAATCGATAACTTTCCGATACAAAGACATTCTAATTGGAGTTTATTATGTTCCGCCTAAATATTCGAAAAAAGTTTCCGAAATTAGACATTATTTTCAAAAATTTTCCCAAGTAAATGTTGGAATGAAAGCCTTAATTGTTGGTGATTTCAATCTAGATTTGAAGTTGGAGAAGAATAATTCAACAGTTACATTCCTCAATGAAATTCAATTAAAGTCTGTACTAAAAACAAATATTGCAACCACTAAAGCCGATACTCATATAGATTGGTGTTTCAGTAATTTCAGTAACTGTTTCGCGAAGACTTATGAAACTGTTTATAGTCATCACAAAGCTATCGCAATAAGTATTTTTGAAAATGAATCTGATTACATATTATGGAGTCAATCATCTCTAAATGACGAACTGGAAAATTTGGAAATAAATCCAAATGATCCAAAATATCAGACACTTTGTGATGAAATAAATGTTTCTATATGTTCACAAGGAATCTCAGATTATACAGACTTTGAAATAAATCAGTTTCGGAATAATTCAAAGCAAATATCAACAATCCATCGTGATGATGATCATTCCTCAATAGATATATCCAACGAAAATACGAAATACCAATTAGGCAAACAAGATAAATATGAAATCAAAACAGTTGGGGAATTTCTTTCTGATCAAGTAATAAACAGGTTCCATGAGGTGTTGAGTAATTTTTCTGAACAGGAAAATATTATAAATGAATTTGAATTTCATCCTCAAAATGTATATTTATGGCAAAATTTATTGAATGATAATATAAGAGAAATTCGAGCGAATTCACATCATATACAAATTTTATATGGTGGTCAAACCAATTCTATTGGACATTGGGTTTGTACATATTACGATGGAAATAGAATCAATTATTACGACAGTCTAAATTATCCTCAAATCACCTATGATTCAATCCGTATTTATTTGAACAAGTTGTATCCTTTCAAACCTGAAATAGTTTTTCTTGAAGTTCAACTACAAGACAATAATTCAAATTGTGGATTACATGCAATTGCAAATGCTACTTCTCTTTATTTCAAAGTAGATCCAATATTGATATTTTACGATAAAGATAAGATGCGAAGTCATTTATGGAAAATCCTAAAAACGAATGTTTTGGAATTATTCCCAGGATATGGGTATCAGACCGAAATATATCATCCATATAAAAACTTACTCGAAAATTATGAAAATAGTAATTCTGTTAATGATGAAAATGATTCAAATATAAATGTTGAAGATAATAGGTATCAAAATAATTCTAAAAAGAAGCCGCCAATTCATAATGAAACTAATGATGATTTTTCGATCGATATTTCCAATGAAACTTCAAAATACAAATTAGGACAACAAGACAAGTATGAAATAAAATCTGTTGGTGTCTGTCTTGCGGATCAAGTAATAAATAGATTTCAAGAAGTGTTGAGTAATTTTTCCAAACAGGAAAATATTATAAATCAATTTGCATTTTATCCGCAGGATGTAGTACTATGGCAAACTTCAGATTTCTCAAATAATGACATACAAGAAATACAACAAGATAATCATCATATTCAAATTTTATATGGTGGCGAAGCAGACTCCAATGTGATTGGTCACTGGATATGCACATATTACGATGGAAAACAGGTTAATGTATATGACAGTATGAATTTCAGAAGATTTAGTCCAAATTCGAGTAATGAAAAGTATTTGAAAAAATTATATCCGTTCAAACCACCTTATGTTTTCCATCAAGTACAACAACAAGACAATAATGTAGATTGTGGTCTCTTCTCCATTGCAAACGCAGTGACAATTCATTTCAAGAAAGACCCTAGAAATATTCGATATGATAGAACCAAAATGAGAAGCCATCTTTGGAAAATTCTTCAAACAAACGTTTTACAACTATTTCCATCAGAGATTGATATCAATCGATGAGAACTTATTTATGAAATATTATTTGATAACATAGTAACACCGAATTCTCTTGAAAAACCTTTCTTGAAGATGGTATCGTTGAATAATATATTTGTAGCCGGGACACCCCGAATAGAGAGGAATATCAAAATGTCTGTAGAGCCAGTTATTATTTGTGGCCGGGACGCGATTTTACTAAATATAAACTATTGCAGCACAAACCACGCCCACCATAATACGTCATATCTCATACTGTGCTCCAACGCAAGAACTGAAGCTTTCTCGTTGTCAATCTCTTGTACGCAGTAAATTCATACACCCAAATGGTCTACTGGTTAGCGCTGTCGACTCTCAGTCTGAAGGTTCATGGTTCGAATCGCTGTGAACTCGAACTTTTTTTTGCAACTTTTTTTTTCACCAATGTTTTTTTACTTCATTCTGGTTCTCCTTTTTCATAAAATATTTGAAGTCAAATAGGTTAGTGCGTTTAGGATAAACAGTCTCATTTTATTCAATTTTGTTGAAGAACTCAACTTTTGAAATATATTATCAATCAATGTGTTTCTACACTCCATTCGGTTTTCCTTCCTCAAAAATATTGCAATCAGGGATAGGTTAGTTCGTTGAGGATAAATAGTCTCTGAGTTTTGCCTAAGTAAAGTACTTTGAAGATGAGATATAACGTGGTATGTGCTACTTTTTCAATCGATTTATTTATAAGAATCAGCTACGTTGTGTTGTCAAAAATTAGATTTTGCAGGATTGTGCTGGCCTCGATTATATTTTGCAATGCCGTAGTAGGGGGCGTGTCTTGTGCTGCAATAGTTTATATTTAGTAAAATCGCGGCCGGGACACCCCGAATAGAGAGGTTTTTCATTAAATTGACTTTTGCACAGGATTTCGGTTTTGTAAGATGGCTTCTGAATAAGTTGTTGGTGCCGTAGTTGTTTGCTTTCTTGTATAATATTTTGTTACATCCATTCAAATTCTTCACTATTGATATTGTATAAAAGTTATTTTAACATATGCCTCTTACAGAATCGATGATGTATCCAAAAATTAATGCACATAAACGGCATTGCCAGCCCGAATAGAGAGGTTGCTTACTGTCAGGTCGCTTTCAGACACAGTTAAGCTATCACTAGCTGTCCCGCGACGAGTTCTCCATACCACCTTGAATTCTCAGTTGATTAATTGAAATGAAAAAATCTGTATTTGTTTCTACAAATTGTAATTTGTTCATAATTTTGAAAGGATTTCTTAAAATTAGGAAATTTGTGGAACTTGTCAGCTAATACCCCGAAGACTAAATACATGCTCACAAAATCCAATAAACTCATATACAATTTTTTTGTCATTTCTGATTTGTGAACAAATAATCTAAAATAACAATGCCATAGTTTGAGTTGCTAACCAAGTCTTCAGCAAATAAATTACCTTTGAACAGTAATCAATGATAGAAATATTAATAGTTGCTAAGATTGTTCCTGATAAAAAAACTCATAATAATAGACTATGTAATGGCATTCACAGTTCGACAGGCAATTCTCAATCATTTGAAATATAAAAAATGTTTAAGCCTTGGGGTTCAAGAGAAAACCCGAACAGAGAGGGCGCTTACCCAGCAGATTGGTAAGCGGTTAGTGAGTGCGCATTAACTCAAAGTGTTGGATAGATAGCTCTCATTTAACACCCGAATAGAAAGGTATTTACCTGCAAGAAAGGTAAAAGTCAGTGAATGTGCAAATAATGTCCAAAAAGAGAGACTTAATTTCACTGTTGGGAGCCATGCCAATAAGATCGTTTGCATTGTATAATGCGGCTGGGCATTTTTATTCTAATAATATTATATTGTGTTCACTTTCCTGGGGAGGTCCATTTCTCATTCAGGATTAGAGATCATTCCTTCCGATAAGTAAGAATTATTCCTACCCTCTTATTAACACTCTTATTTGTCATGAGATTCAACTAGTCATTTAACCCAGCTCATAAATACTTTACAAACGATCCTAGCATAAGATATTTAGACATGTTGATAAATGGGTAACAATTTTGTAAATATGTATTCGCATTGTTTTAAATGATTGCATTTCATATTCATTTAAAATAATTTACTACTGAAAATATCTAGAAGGAAAAATCTCTATTTGGTTCATTCGTAAAAATGAATAATTGTTACAAAATCATTTTTCTAAACGGCCAATTTTGAATGTTAATTTAATTTACAAATTCAAATTGAATTTATTCCACACATATTTTCTAAACGAAATTGTTACTTATGTGTAGTTCAGGTTAATCTTCAACTAAATCAAATTGGCACCACTTAAATAAAACGGAATTATTTATTATTTTAGTTTCTAAGTCTAAAATTGAAAAATTGTAGAAAATCAAATTGTTCATTCAAATTAACGTTGATTTTTGTAAGATATTCATCGATTCTCATGATGAATTTTCAAAACACTGTGATTCCTAATAACTTAAAAAAAACAAGATTGAAAAGACACCCATTCTGGAAAGAACAAACAGCACTGAAATAGTTCACAGAGGGACCAAGAAAATTGGTGAGTTTTCTGCTGTGTGAAGTTTACTTTTATGTGTCATTTCAAATAATCAATCCAAAGCTCAATTTGACTAGTTGAGTAAGCTTATAATGATTTTCTTGTATTCTATTTTCTTCATTACTTTAACATTGTGCATGGAATTATATAATATATGAATTATTCTCATTCGTATCTAATTCCATGCTCTATGTTGAATCTTGAGACCCGATAGAGATAAAAAGAAGATATATTTCATTAAAATAATTCAAGAAAGCATCTCTAAAGTTTTGAAACTACATTTCTTAAAAAAATAAAGTGAACCCCTCATAGATTCTTGAAATAATAATAATAATAAATAATTTGAGAAAGCATCTCTAAGGTCTAAGGCTTCATATGTAATAAAAAAATTGAAAGAGAATTAACAACAGACATAAATTTTCAGCTACCACAAAATGGAGGAATTTCACCAATTGAACAAAGTGTCGAAATCAATCAATATTGGTTTTGAATTTTTGTTCCACACCAATCCTAAGCAGACGCTCCAAAATACCTCTATGAAAGATAATTATCTGGGTAAATTTTCAAAATTTAATTTTTCAATAAAATCACGTTTTTTTTTCTAGTGAGAAATATTAGGAATCGATGAAAACGAAAAATCAGGCAATTGTAGATGGCAGTTACATATATAAAATGAAAGAATATCGTTTATTTGATAAACATAGGATCTGGTGATTATGATTCTTAAAAGATTTCAATTCTTTCTATTAATCCAGAACTTTTCAAAAGTCTGGTTAGTTTGAAAAATAGCATGTTATATGACACTTCGAAAATGAATATATTTCTTTAGTTTCAAAATCTTTGCAACGAAATCCAGAGAAAAAGGTTCACGGAAGTCGCAAGTTATTTGCAGAATAGAAGCCGAAAATTTTGGTTTTAACATACAGATACATAAAGTGGTCGACAAATATGGAGGGATTTTACCAATTGAACAAAGCGTCAAAAGCGATGAATATGGTTTTGAATTTTTATTCCACACCAATTCTAAGCAGACGCTTCAAAATACCGTTATGAAAGATAATTATTTGGGTAAATTTTCAAAATTGATTTTTTCAATAAAATCATCACCTCATCAGAGTTAGAATTCACACGTTATTTTTTCCAGTGAGAAATATATGGAATCAATAAAAATGAAGAATCAGGAAACTGTTGATGGCAGTTACATAAAATGAAAGAATGTCGTTTATTTGATAAACATAGGATTTGGTGATTATGATTCTTACAAGATTTCAATTCTTTCTATTAATCCAGAACTTTTCAAGACCCAATTTATGATACAACAAAGTCTGGTAAGTTTGAAAAATAGCATGTTATATGACACATCGAAAATGAATATATTTTTTTAGTTTCAAAATCTTTGCAACGGAATCCAGAGAGAAAGGTTCACGGAAGTGGCAAGTAATTCGAAGAATAGAAGCCAAAAATTTTGGTTTTAACATACAAATACATAAAGTGGTCGACAAATATGGAGGGATTTTACCAATTGAACAAAGCGTCAAAAGGAATGATTATGGTTTTGAAATTTTGTTCCACAACAATTCTAAGCACAGATGCTTCAAAATTATTTAGGTAAATTTTCAAATTCGTATTTTTCAATTAAAACATCACCCCCGTCAGAGTTAAAATTCACGCGGTATTTTTTTTCAGTGAGGAATATAAGGAACCAATAAAATCATAAAATTGTTAATGACAGTTACATAAAAGGAAAGAATGTCATTTATTTGATAAACATAGGATCTGATGATTACGAAACTTCGAAGAATTTAATATTTTTCCCAACAAAGTAGAGTAAGTTTGAAAAATAGTATTTCATATGAAAAATCGAAAATGAATATATTTTTTTCAGTAACAAAATCTTAGGAATGACAACCAGAGAAAATAGTTTACGGAAATCGCAAGTTATTTGAAGAATAGGAGCCGAAAGTTTTGGTTTTGATAATCAGATACATAAAGTGGTCGACAAAAAAATTATAAATAAACAACATACGAAAAAAATTGCCAAATAATGAAGAAACAAGATTAATTCGTGGTGACCCTATAACATGTGCACGATATTTTGATAATACATTCAGATTATTAATGCCACACATATAAGGTAAAGATGGTCCCTTTGAATGAAATTCTATTGAACATTTCTATTATAGAGTACAATTTCAGCGTAGAGGTTCACCTCACGTGCATAGTTCACTATGGTTGAAAAAACGTACGTAGTCTGTGGGAAAAATCTCCAGTTCTCTGAACTTTCATAGCGTCGTATACACATCTTTGGTGCCCAATGATAGTTTCAATATAAAAATATACTCATGATATGGTGCCAAGGCCTCTACTTCCATCTTACATGAGCAATGATAAAATATAATCTGCTTTTATAGCGTCGTATAAATTATCTGACCTCTAAATGAACTAATACCTTATGAAAACTACATCTATACTAATCTGATACCTTTTAAAAACTACGTACCCACTTGTTATACGACGCTATACATAGTGGAGTATACTACGGCCGTGCCAAAAATGCTATCTCGGAAACTAAGCGAGATAGAGGTATAGTTGCTTTGGAGAAAATGATCCCCATCGAATTTTGAGCAACTTTGGTTTTTGTGTGTGGTCTGTCTGTCTGTCTGTCTGTACTCTGTGTTAATCATAAATCGATATATCTCCGGAACCCTTTGACATATCGACTTGAAATTTTGCCATCTTATTGTACTCAAAACAATATTATGTCATTAAAATATGAAGGAAATCGGAAAACTCTAAGGTGGTTTTTCCGGGTTTTTTCGATTTTTCACCGGAAGTTCCTTGTAACCACTCTACAAATCGCAAAAGTGGTCCGATCGATTTCATTTTTTGTGAAAAAAACCTCTATCAGGAAGAGACGAAGCCTATTGAAATTGAGCAGGGTCGGAAAATTCCAAGTGGGTTTTTCAAGGAGATTTTCCGAAAAACACGGTTCGCTTTAAAACGACATATCTCGTGAACAAATAGACTAAATCCAAATTTGAGAAATGCACCGTATGCCTCTTTGATGACGCAACAAATTATCATTCAATAATTTTTTCGTGCATCCATCGGAAAATGGAAAAACAAATGAAAATCCAAACATCAAAATTTAAAATCCTTTCAATTCAATATATATCGAAAACAAATGGGAAAATCGAAAATTATCAAGAGTGCAAAGTTATCCACTGGGACATTTCCTACACATTTTTTTCTATAATTTTTTCTGTAAACCCAATAGTATAGGAAATAAAGTGAAAAATATGAAGAAAAAATTTTTAACGACCCATAGGGTACTATGAAGATATATTGAAAAACAAAGATTATTGATAGATGTAGCTCCTCAACTTCCACTGAACCATGAAATATTTTTTCATTTTGTTGATTGAAAGATGGATCAAAAGTGTTGAAAATTTTATTCTCAGATAATTCCAAATATGTCGAAAACAACTGAAAATATCTGAAAATGTTATTGAACCAAAATCATTCCTTTTGATAAA